TGGAATACGGACCGAACGTCCGGTACGAGTGGTTCTGGGGTTTGAACCAGCTAAAGCAGAACGCAGTGGAGACATTCCTGAAGTGGAGGGTAATGTGGCCGGATTTGGAGGAATTGTTGAATTTGGCGTCGTCGTCAATGGGGTGGGGGCTACTGGTGTGGTGGTATCCGTGGCCTTGGAGTTGGAAGGGGTTGCCGTGACGGATGTTGCGTCGAAGTAAGCTGGCTTCGTGCGGTCGATGGAGATAGTATCGCGCTGACCGTTCTTATCGATGATTCTCTGTTTCCCACTACGTTGAAGTACGATAATGGCCATAATAGGGGGCCTGTAGGGGTCTGCGTAGTGCGTCGCAACGGACCCAAACGTGTGTGCAAGTTTTCAAGTCTGGATGTATGAAGACTGTTTTTTGTTGTGGGCGCGTGATGGCTGGGGTTAGCTCACGCGTGTAATGCGTAAGCCGTTGGACGTACTCCGGCGGTGCTTGAAGTGAAGCTTCGTGTGGGAAAACGGAGTGCAGTCCCATATACCAGTTCGGCCGGCGTGCACTTGAGATCGTCTTTGATGGCATTTCTTATGCCAAGTAGGACGAGTGGGAGTGCCTCCGTCCATGGAATGACGGAATATGCACTAAGTGCAGCTTTAAGCTGTCGATGAAAACGCTTGATGAGGTCGTTAGCGGCCGGGTGATATGCTGTGGTGCTTATACGTTGGCACCCTAACATGGCTGTTAACGAGTTGGATAATGCGGACTTAAANTGCGGACTTAAATTGAGGGCCGCGGTCTGTAGTCAACGTAGTAGGACACCCAAAATTCGCTACCCAACGCTCAACGAACGCCTTTGTTACGGTTTAAGTTGAGACGTCGGTGATCGGAACTGCTCCTGGCCAACGCATGAAACGATCTACGCAGGTCAGACGGTAAGTTAAACCTTTGATGGCGGTAACGGTCCCACTATATAATATTAATAGTAAGAATAATGGTATATTTCTCGGATTACAACGAGAGACATGCATGTAGTCCGCGATCATGGCAGGCAAAGTACAATAACAATGGCCTCATATAACACACAACAGGATCTGGGGATATGATCATGATGTTTGTGAAAACGACGTATAATGGTGAATTGTTTAGTGGAATACGTGTTTTTGTTTTAATGCTCCATTTCACACTGTAGCGCAACCCACTTTCAACTTCAAGGTCACCAATAAACTCAGAGTGATACATTTCCGTAGAATGACAACATAAGCGCAGATATGCATATGGATGAATAAAAATGAAAAATATGAAAACGTATTGATATGATACAATGAATGGAGGAAGAAAACCGCTAATGGTTGGGTAGAAGTGATCGGATATCAAATGATACATCCGAGCCTCATGGGGGTAATATTATGGCAACTGTCAGCTAGGGAGACATATTCACCCGTTTATGTATAGAAATATTGCATACTATAGGTACAGTAATTGTTTTATTGGCTAATTTTCGGGCTTATCAAAGTAACGGCTATGAAAAATTCCATCAAAGGCACCATGACATAAGCCTCAACGTCAAGAGACCGAATGCTCCATTGCGGAAATCTGGTTTGAAGAGAATCATCGAGTATGCTTTATCTGAGGGACATATTGGGTTCTGCTATCGCAAACAATCAAATAGAGAAGGCAGACAAACTATAGAGTTTTCATTCAAAAAGACTGGAATTCCAGCCATAATTATTTGATAACTAGGGGAATGAAGAAAGAAAATTAGGACAGGAATCAACGTTGAACCCAATCACACCACGGCTGAGTAAGAT